ATCATTAAGTCCAAGTACCGTTCCACCATGACTGATGAACATTTGGAAGTGTGTTTGAGGCTGGCCGTCAGCAGCTACTGTCCGGACTATGCATCTCTGGCTGATTCAATTCAGTGCAAGTCATCAGAGTAAACTCAGGTAATGACAAAAAATTTACATTGTTAATTGTGTTGTGAAATATTGGATATTGCGGTTATGCATGTATATACATTGTAGATATAAAGAATCCTCAATATATTTATAAATAAGTATATGTTTTGGATTTTTGTAGTGGGTAGATCATGTTGACTTGGTCATTTTATAAGTAGCTCACATGCGGAAAAAGTGTGAGCACCCCTGCCTTAAAGCAACAGCAATACACACATGGACTGAAAACATGTAAACAAGTCCAAATCGCTCCTTTACCTGTGACATATTCTTTGACCTGGTGGATCTTGCTGATGGGGTTGTTACCTTGGAACATGTACAGGTTAAAGGGCTGAGGGTCCTTACCAACACGTGTCCATGTGCTGATGTCAGGAGTGGTCCACCTTAAAACACAGACATGCTCTGCTCATGCTTGACACCATTACAGTCACCTGTTACACTTGTGCTGGACGAGTGTCAGACTGCCTACCTTCCCGCAGGAATGTCATAATCTCTGTCTCCAAAATGAAGCAACCGCGTCAAAGGATCATACAGACCTCCATGGAAACCAATTACCAACACGAAGTCTGGGTTGGAATCAAAGTAAACTTCACCATACGCTGTGTATTGCACCTACACAGACACACAAAGATCTATTAATTGCATCAGATATGGAGAAACACAGCAGTTCTGATGAATAAAGTCACATGCTGAAGCCTTTTGTTCCGGCAGGACCAACATGCATACCTGTTTAAGCAGGAGCCCATTGTTACTGAACACAGCCAGTGGAGTCCCAGTGTTATCACATGCAATATAAAACTCTTCTCCGCTGCTGATCTCCATGGCAAAAACATGGCCCTGTGCAAAAATAACCAACATTGGATTCAACAATAACAAACCTGCTATCATGCTGCGATATGCAGTTCTGTAAATTAACAACTAATTAAATAATCCATTGCTATGGGGTGCACACACACCGTGTTTTCACATCTTTGTGAGGATCACGCCGCTAACCCCAGCCATGACAAATGAATGCCTAAACCTAACTATGACCGAATTGTTACCCTGACACTAAAACCACATTTTGAGTCTGTTGGTCCCCACAAAGATATGTACACACGGTCAGCTGCATTGTTACAGATGCCTCAACTAGTGCACCATTAGCTTTAGCAGAATAACTAAATATATTACAGGGAGAAACTGCTCTCTCTGTCTTGTCACTTTTTTCCATATGCTCACTGGAGAGAAACCTGCTGTAACCAGACTGTCGTGCATCAAAAGTACAGCACTGAGTGTCTCGCCTGCTTCTAGCACGACAGCAGAGAGGTTTTTTAACCAGCCTTCTAACTTTAGCAAAAGCACCGCTGCGAGCTAAATGACTCTTTCAGTGTGGTACCTGCAGATCGTAGTAAAAGGACGTGATCTCTGAGCTGGAGTGGTTGTAGACGTGGGTTATCCTGGTGGGATAGTTCAGGTCCGCATAGAAGAACTGCAAGTGCTGGCCCAGGCTGTTCCTAGATGCTACTCGCCGACCCAAGCCGTCATAACGGTACTGGATGGTCCAGCTGGCTGCTTTGCTGTAGACACGAACTAGTAGGCCTGTTGTAAAAAAATACTGATGCTGTTGTCTTTTATAAGGAAAAAGTGCACGTGTTCAGTGCATGTATGACTCTCTTTAGGGTTAGTTTTCTGTTTTCCACATAAGCCTTTCGAGTGAACTTTGACTGCTCAGGATGTGATCAGGTGCTCTATGGCACAATTTGAAAACTTCTGTCTTGATTATTACATTTTCCTACACGTCTGATTTGGGTAATCATTTAAACAAGCACAGTCGACGTCAAGAGGACGAACACTACTGTGCCACTTTGCGTTGCGTCTGTTGGTCAAACTGTGCAAACCTTTGGAGTTGTATTCAAATATCTCAGCTCCTCTCTGTCTGAGGAAGCCGTCCTCATCCAGCCTATACTGAACATCTCCCAGCCGAGTGATTCTGTCCCGCAGGTCGTAGCGCAGAGGGGTCAAACGCCCGCTGTTCCCAGGGTTCAGCAGATGCAGATTCCCGTTCAGATCGTAATTATATCTGAAAGGACAGAAAGTAGAATCGTTAATTATTATTTGGCATCAGTGTTTTCTTTCTTTCTTGAATGCTGTGATCCTACCTCCACATCATCTTCTCATTGAGGGAGACGGTCTGCAGCTGTCCATCGACATCATACTCATAACCATATTTGGTCGTGTTAGCAAACGGCCCGATCTTGATTTCACGCTTTGTCACTCGGCCCATGTTGTCATACTGAATGGTGATCCAGTACATCAGTGACCTGAAAATCTCATACTGGATCTCCTTGATGCGGCCGTGCTGGTCAAAGTGTTTTGTGTAGGTCATTACTGCTGTGGAGATAATCTGGGAATGATGGGCAGACAGAAGATCTACTGTTACACTTCAGCAGTGACCCAAAGCCCTGCTGATCAAAAAACTGCACCTGACATCTGGACAGCCCCACCCTGCCTCAGGTGGGGTTTTGTTTCATTGCTTTGAAGACACAAACACAACCTCCAGCTGTGGGTGGAGAAAATGTCATTTGATGAGGGAAGAACACCTGCTGCATCTGACACACATAAATCATACCTGTGACTAACACCGTGTCCAGAAGCATAACAGTGGTTAAACGTAACTGAGGGCTGTGGGTGCTCAAACTCTCAGGATCTGAAAGGATGTTAGCTCGCTCTTTAAATATTGTTTATTAGCTCGTCTGCTGCCAGTTTAACTTCAAGGCTTCGAGAAACATCCACAAATAGCTGCAACACTGAGAGGTCACAATAAACAAGCTGATATGGAGAACTAAGATATCTGAAATATATCCTTATCAGCACAGCGAGACCTGAAATGTCCAGCTACCTCAGCCTAATTAACCCTATAAACCTGTGCTATAAACTCTCAACCACGAAATGAAGATCCACAAAAACTCAGTGTTTCAAAATGTTTTCGTGATCTCTGCTGCCATGAGACACTGCCTCAGCCCCATTTACCAATCACTGATTAATGCACTTATCCCACTTGTTTTCTTCCTCTTGGAGACGTCCAAAGTTTTGTCCCATCAGTGGAAATATTTTAGGTGTCAGTGCCCCTGAAAGGATCTAACTGATGTGTCATGCAGCGGGGGTGATAACATGATTTGGGTGTCCCTTCGGTCTCTTCCAGGAATCATCGTATGGTTTGATGTGAATGAAAATGATGTTACTCGTATGATATGGCCTTGCCAGTCACTAGATTTAGGAATGGTGCTCTCCACCACCATCAAAAGACCAAAAAGGGAATATCTTTTGGAAGAACAGAGTTTAAAAGATTACTAAAATGTCTGTTTTTTCATTAAGTACTCGTCCATATTACTAGAATCTGAGCTGCTTATTTTAAACAGTATCGAAGATCCGTTATTACCTGATTGATATCGTAATAAATGACTCCAAACTTCCCAAACTGTTCCACTTTCCCAGATATGTCGTCAAACTGATAGAGATCGATGGGCAGCGGCGTCTCGTTGATTACAGCCTGCATGCTGGTGACCCTGAAACTGTTGTCATAGGTGTAGTCAAAGCGCGCGTTCACCATCCCGTCCTCGCTGAAGCGGAATATTTGCCGGTCAACCAGTGGGCCAATTTGGCGGTACCGGATGGAGCAGATGAAGCCTTCGCTCTGCAGGTTGACAGTCTTAAGCACACCAGCAGTCTCGTCATATGTGAAGCTGACCCTGGTCGAGTCATAAAGGATTTCTGCCAGCTTGTTCTGACGAGACAAATATAAAAAAGTGTTACAGTGACGACACAAGCAGGATGTCTGCTGTGCATATCACACCCCATCACCAGCCTACAGCTCATCCAACTGTTTCTTTATGGTTCCACTATGGGTAACTTTCAATGACCAAAAGCAACTGTGAAGTTTGAAGTGGGAAAGATGTTGCAACAACACTGCTGCATGCTGCATGTACAGGACAACTGTACCTTAAACATATACAGACATTTCCTTCCTCATCGGTAACCTTTGACCTTTGTTGAAGAATCAGCTGCATAAAGACATGAATAACCTACCTGTCTGCGGTATTTGTACAGTATACGCCGGCCAGTGCCTAGATGAGCCACCCTCAGGAGCTAAGAAAGAGAAAGCAGTGAATGATTAGCTTTGCTGCTGTTGAGTGAAGTTGATCACATCCAGTGTGTCTCTTACTTGCTAAAAACAAAACACACCTGTCCATCTTCAGAATAATCCACAGTAACAGACGCGTTGCTTTCTGGTGGGGTGTAGATGTTCCTGTAATATCCTATGGATCGGATGGTCTGCATGGTGTGTCGGGCCACGCTGGGCATGGTGACTGCTGACAGGCGGTCCACGGAGTCATAGTCAAAGATGTACTGGTGCTGGCTGTGCAGCAGCAGCACCATGGACTGATGCAGAGACAGGAGGAAGACAATTAGAAGCAGAACACACTGACTGGTCGCGTGGCGGCCTGTAGTGAGAGGCCACAGACGTTATGATTGGATGTCTGAATTACAGTTTCTTATACAGAAAACAAAAGTGGTGCAAATGTTGTAAATGTAGCCTAGATTCACATCAGTCCACACTGCAGATACATGAAGATTCATTCAAGCACAACTGGCACTGCATCGTTTAATCAGATGTTATCAGATAAAGATCCTGATATTGTTGCACCACCTGCTGGAGCTGCGCCTACCGAGGTCATGCAAAGCTCCCCTGCATGTGTGTTAGACAGTTTGACATGAATACCAAAGTGGCTTTTCACAGCACTCAGGGAACACTGACACCACATATGCTGCTCAGATACACCTGATTTGGTCATGAGTGTGTTTTATAGGATACATTTCCACGACCAGAAGAGACACACACATCAAAATAAAGAATGTTGCGCTTCAGTAATGAAATGTGCAATAAAATATGCTTTAATAAATTCATTTACTATTCTTTTATTTATTTAGACATTAGTAAATAATCTATTAATTAATAATGTAAAATGTATCAATGCAAGGTGATGTTGCAATGTAGCAATCAGAGTCTGAAGGCCCAGACAATTCCCAACAGATTGATTTTCCCACGTGGATCATTATGGCTTTGCTATGCTGGTCAGCTTAATTGTCACAGCTTATTTGATCTTTATAATTTTTTGGTACTTTTAAGTTATTACAGTCTGAACAGACACTGTGGGACAGGAAAGATGAAGAGAAGTTAGGAAGTTGAGTTAACAGAAGGAGAGGGAAAAACAGTGGAGAGGGATGGAGAGAGAAAAGACACTGAATCTGTTTGATCACCTGCTGAAACAAAACAGGCAAAAAGAAAAAACATAGCAGGGAAACCATGGCAACAACCCAGAAAAGCATCAGTAAATAATAAGTACTGAATGTTACTGAGCAGCAGGACTGATAATGCAGGATATGTTTGGAGGCAGCAGCCAGTGTGAGTCTGTGAGTACCTGTGTGTGTGTTTGTATTCAACAACCATAAAAAAAAGATTTTCTAAATCATTTAAATTTAAATGTAAAAAAGAAAAATAAATAAATGAAAAGATGTTTTTCTGACATTTAAAATTCCACTCCTCATTTTTGAAATCCACTGAATTTTCCTTTCCTGTTAGCTCACAGATTAGCTTTTAAATGACCAAATAAGATGTTGTTGTTGTTTTGTTTTTTACCGTGCTCCTTTGTCTCAAAGCTTAGCCTAACCAGTTATCAGGTTTAGGGGCGATCACGTTTTCATACAGAGTAAAGGACGTTTGGATTTTTCCCCCTTAACCATAAACACCTTCATTTAGGAACTGTATTTTGTGTTTACTTGTGTCGTATTTGTATAATATATAAATTTGTCTGATGATCTAAAGCATTTAAGTGTGACAAACATACAAAAAATAGGAAAATCAGGAAGGTGCAACGGCTTATTTGAAGAGTTTCAGTCAGGTTTCAGAGCTCAGCACAGAAACAGCTTTAGTGAAGGTTACAAATGATCTTCTTATGGCCTCTGACAGTGGACTCATCTCTGTGCTTGTCCTGCTAGAC